GAAGACTATAGCCATGGCTTATCTGATAACATCCACCTATAAACCTGACCCTAGAGATATCTCTTATCTGTGGAAATTTCATAACTCATTTGGTAACCACCATGTTACAGGCTCGTTTCGTAATAAACGATCCCTTAACGGTCATTATAATATATTTAAACCGATAAACGAATTATGACGACATTTGAAGTTACGGTACATTAAGTTTTAATCCGGCTCTTAAAAAGGTACGTTAAAACAACCGTCGAATACTCCATTTGATGAGTAATCATTTTCTTATCATCACTCACTACTCATAATATAAGTACAAGATCCGCAAATCCTTCAGTAAATTAAATAAATACATATCAACCGTATTTCTGAGTGTTTACCTCAAATTTGAGCACTTAACTAATTCTTTATTACAATTAAATGTTTTTTTTTCACAGAAAATAGTTTTAGACGCTCTTGTTTTGTTTTTATGGAATAATTTTTTGCATTTTTTTGCATCTGCTAATATCTGGAAGTTCTTAAGGACTCTTGGTATGGGCAGTGAGCGTCATGCAGATTTTCCAACGAATATTGCTTTAGATGATATAAATTGCCATTTCACCACTCCCTCTATATTGGATCATCAAAACAAAGTTCAAACCATCGATTTCGTAGCCCGTCTGCCTAGGCCTAATATAAACCCCTTTGATTTTTCTCTGGTTGCATCAGAGGGGGTCAAACAATTTGTTACCTCCATCAATTCCAAAGCTACTGGTTGCGATAAAATTAGCCATTTCATGGTAACCACTATCCTAGAACAGCTTTTACCCGCTATCACTAATATTATGAACTATTCCTTAGATTCCAATGTTTTCCCCTCCTTATGGCGCAAGGCTTATGTACGTCCATTGGCTAAGGTACCTAACCCCTCCCTTCCTACTCATTTTCGTCCAATATCGTTCCTCCCTTTCCTCTCCAAAGTCCTTGAAGCCTGTGTTCATAAGCAACTATCTCACTTTATTTATCAGAACAACTTGCTTAACCAGTATCAGTCAGGATTCCGACCAGAACATAGTACAGGTACAGCACTACTCAAGGTGACACTTGATATAAAGGCTGCGATGGAAGATGGCCAGATAACTGTACTCGCATTAATTGATTTCTCAAATGCCTTCAATACCGTGAATCCTTTCCCATTTCATGATTTCCGATTATGCACTGGAATGGTCCTCGGCCTATCTTCAAGGACGCGTGCAGTCTGTCCGAACTGATGAATCTTCATCGCTATGGGCCGACCTTGACTCTGGTGTTCCACCCAAATAGCAACGACGTTCTCGAGTGGTGATCGCTTACTGGAAGACGGACCAACGACCTGGTGCAGGCAGCGGGCGGTCGTTGTGGCGAACCTTGGTTAGGCTATATCCAGAAGTAAACTTCTTTCTGCTGAGATGATGCAGTTTCCTCAAACTTGTTTGGAGTCCGTGAATGAGTTTTCATCTTCTATTCTTTAATTTTATACAGATTTTTATGAAACATTTATACTAAGTAATCGTGACGGAATAAGTAAAACAATGGTATGTTTCTCTTACATTTTCTACTTAGAGATACATATGTCGTATCAAATCAAACCTACTTTAAATACGAGCGATATACTCGTATATACAATAACAAATGCGAACAACATAGATATGTGTCTTAGCTTTTAGTATTCCTTCGAAAGCTATAACAATAAATCATGCGTGTTAGGTACTTACCTAACACGCATGATTGTTACATTGGTACTTACCAATGTAACACTTGAGAACGGTCAGTTCACTTCTTACAAAAAATAAGTTAAAGAAACTTAAATAACTACAACATATCCCGATATATTTGTTTTAAAGATCTTTTATCTAGAGTTCACAATATACGTAATAGCAAATAATACAAACAAATAAAGGCAATATAGTATTGAGGAAGATTTCCTTCGGGAATAATAGCCGTTCCACTCAAATTTTGATAGTGAACTTACAATTGAAATAAGGTTTTTTTTTTATAATAGCACCGTTGCAGGCCCGAGCCATCGTAAAGTCATCAATCAATATTCATATTTTAATTTACTGCTGAAAGCAACGTATCATTAATTTTAGCTTCATTGTTATCAAGATTGTACCTACAAAAACAGTTTATTTACTTCCTAAAAGCTTTTATTATATTATGACTTAACTTTTTTTGTTAGAACTATTATATTTTTAAACATTTATTAAGCGTAGGTTAATTTTCTATTAAGTACCACATAGTAAAAGTTGTTGTGTAAAACAAAATTGCGCATAATGATGTAGTTAGTACACAAATAGAAAAGTTATTTTCATTATTTAGTGAGAGATGGTATAAATTCTAATGCTTTGCTAGCCTACCTAGAAAAAAAATACCACTTAAATTGTATAAAATTTGTTCCTTGTTACTTACCGTGTAACCTTAGACACTACAAACGAACGTATCCAGTGGCTGCTCAGTTGAGACTGAGCGCGGGAAAGAAACCAGGTGGCTAAGCGTCCAATAATTGGACTCTATTATTTTTGATTCTCTCACAGCGTTGATAGTGTAATAATATTAAATTATATTATTTTATTTAATGATTTAGGGATTATAAACATGTGACAAAAACCTTGGAGTTAATGATGAAGGGAATACCGAATACCTAGAAAACGAACACACGAGGGGATTGCCGGATGTCAATCCTTGATATAAATTTTAGTACGCAATTGTCTATTAAGGGTTGCATCTCACAAGACGGAAGCCCTGTGTTTTCACAGGAAACGCAGAGGTGCAGTTCCCACCCGCTTGGTTATTAAAGTGGAGAGAACAGAGGTCGAGGTCGGGCGGCACATCAAACACATCGGCCTCACCCTGGTGAGCCGTTGAAGCTTCGAGGAGCATTTCGAGCAGATGATTCCAAGAGTTGGGGTGTCGGGCTCCCTACAGAGGCTTTTGCCTAATGTAGGGGGTACGCGGGATCAAGTTTGCGTTGATACAATTCATGGCCCTCTACGGAGCGCCGATATGGGCCAAACGCCAATCGGCCTCATAGCGCTGCCGAGTGCCGAGGTTAGCTCAACAGAACGCAGCGGTTAGTGGCCATTCGGATCGTACGGTAATACTGCGCACCATTTCGTCGGAGGCTGCGACAGTCCTGGCACGTTTCTGCCTTTTGATATCCTGGCGGATATGAATGCAAGATATGAATGTGTATGACCATCATTCAAAATAAATAAAGCGCCTGGTAAATTTTCTTAACAAATTGTAACCTAGTGAGTGGTTGAATAGGGCTAACCGACATAATGTCCCCGACAGAATTACAGAAGTATAAAAGCAGTAATACCAACAGACATAAAAACTTGTTCGGTATGTTGCGGCTATTATCACTACCAGTGCCTTGGCATATAGTTAGAAAACTTTAGTAAGGAGTCAAGACAAACTTAAGTTAACGGGAAATAAATACTATTGTTTTATAACTACTGACTGGATGGTGCTTACTTATATAAAATTTAAGAAAAAAGGTTTTGCTAATATTGGTGTCATTACAATTTTATACGCATGTAAACATGACGGAAGCCCTCTTGTGTGAGGTTGGCAACCTCACCCAAGAGGGCTGCCGTCATGTTTTGAAAATTTGATTATTTGATCGATTGTAAATATTTTATGTGTTTCGAATCCATATTTTTTTAACCAGTTCATCAATCTGTGGTCCAATGTATCCTTCCACTATGCCATTCTCTTTTCATAGATTGTATTGATTCATGGTTATAGCTACTACTGACTGCTTTATTAACTAACAAATGATATTGATACAAAATAAGCCATCACTGCGGTGACCGGATCGTGGACTCGGTTCACCACACGCTGGCAGAATGACTGCCGTGGGTGTAACAGAGGCGTGGCCGAATGACTGGAGTGGGAATACTCTAAGCTCGGTACCATGATTGCTGCCATGGTAAGGAGTGAGAAAACGTCTCACTTGCGAAGAAGCTTGCCTGCTGGGAGAGTTCTAAACCGAGACCGGGAGAGGATTTAGGTAAAACTCTGCCGGCCCCCCAGACCAAGGAACGGTTCAGGTACCGCAGATGACTAAGACGCAACAGTTCATACACAGGAAGGGGTCATCTACAAGCCGTAAATGGCTCGAGGTACCTCGGGGTACCAGGGATTTCCTTTCTAGGGTACATCTAGTTCCCCAGATAGTTTTTAGTCGGTTCGAGTCTGACACAATCAACCTACTGGTGGGTGGTATGCGAGGGGATATCCGCACAGAAAACAAAAAAGTAGGTAGCTACAATCCGGATTTAATTTAAATTAAATTTGATTTAATGCATAAAACTAATTAAATTGGATAACAAAATAATAATAATTCTAATCGACTTTATTCAGAACAACACACAATCGAGTGAGTGATTGAATCGTTATTTGATTAATAAAGTAAGACGTCAAAAAACTATTATAACTATTTAAAAATAAATCTATTATATTACAAATATTTCTGCACTAAGATCAATTAAATATAAAAAAACTTTTTAAGATTTGCCCCCATTTACACAACTCTCCCCTTTAAAAATGTATACAAAGGTTTTGTAAATTACTAGATGGCTTAGTCGTTTAAGTGGTCGCCACGCCGCTCACTACTACGCTGAGTGTTGTGGGTCCGATTCCCACACGGGGCGAAACTTTGTGTGATCCACAAATTGTTGTTCTGAGTCTGGGTGTTCTTTGTGTCCATTTCACGTATGATTGTAAAGTCCAATTCGCATAAGTTATTAGAGGAGGCAAATTAAAAACTTTTCTTTTTTAATGTTATTTATGGTAATGATATTTAAATCCTGACATGACTTCTAAATAATTTTACCTCAAAAAGTGACATTTAAAAATGACTAGGATTTTAAATTGTATTCAGTTTAAGTAAATAATATTAAATACGCATTATGTAATTTATGCAATCAAAATATATTTTATTTCCATTCTCGTGATATGTCTGACTTTTAAATTTGTTAAACGTTATGACTCAAGAAGTGAAGAAAGGATCACCAGCCATATACGGTAAAGTCACTCCTCCAGCTATGGAAAAAGGTAAAGTTACGTATTGTACAGATTTGGACAAATCGGTGATAAGGGCTAGTTGCGAGCGTCGTGGTTGGACCCAAGTGGGCATTGATGACGAGTGGAATTTTTATTGGTCTTATACACAAAACTGTCGAAATCTTTTCAGTATAGAAAGTGGCTATCGAATGAATGACAACCAGCTAATAAATCACTTTCCCAACCATTATGAACTGTCCCGTAAAGATTTATTAGTCAAAAATATCAAAAGATACAGAAGAGAGCTTGAGAGGGATGGAAACCCATTGGCTGAGAAAGCAGATGTTGTTTTACCAAATGGACAAATCGGCACACGCTATATACATTTGGATTTTATACCAGTTACATACGTGCTCCCAGCTGACTATAATATGTTTGTGGAAGAGTACAGAAAGTCACCACAGAGTACATGGATTATGAAACCGTGTGGAAAATCACAGGGTGCGGGCATATTTTTAATAAATAAATTATCGAAGGTAAAAAAGTGGTCTCGCGATGCAAAAACTGCTTTTCATCCTCAATTAAGCAATAAAGAAAGTTACGTAATATCACGTTACATCGACAACCCACTCCTAATTGGGGGCAAAAAGTTTGATCTACGCTTGTATGTGCTGGTTACATCATATCGTCCTTTGAAAGCTTATTTATTTCAACATGGTTTTTGTAGGTTTTGTACAGTAAAGTATGATACAAGTGTCGCTGAACTGGATAATATGTACGTCCATTTGACCAATGTAAGCGTACAGAAACATGGAGGAGATTATAATAGTTTACATGGCGGAAAAATGAGTATACAAAATTTCCGTCTATACTTAGAAGGTACCAAAGGGCGATCCGTAACCGATAAACTATTTGCAGAAGTGCAATGGCTCATCGTTCATTCTTTAAAAGCCGTGGCACCAGTAATCGCCAATGACCGTCATTGCTTTGAGTGTTATGGCTACGATATTATCATAGACAATAACCTGAAACCTTGGTTAGTGGAAGTGAATGCATCTCCGTCACTTCAGTCCACGACTCATAACGATAGAATATTAAAGTACAAACTAATCGATAACATAGTGTCTATAGTCTTACCACCAGATGGAATACCAGATGCAAGGTGGAATAAAATTCCAAACGAAGAAGCGCTCGGCGACTTCGATATTTTAATCGACGAAGAATTAATAGACAGGGAGGATACAAACTCCCGTTACAATAAATTACATCGTGCTAAAACATGAGTGCTAATTAAGTTTGTGTTGAAAATTGTTTTGTTTAAAAGTAATGTGTAAGAAAAACGTTTTTTTTTATTACAATACTAACACGGGCAATTCTCTTAGTGATAGAAATGAATTAACGAAATTTGTAAACATTATTATTGTCTTTATATTAAGACTGATTAGAAAAAAAAACTGCAGTGTTGCAGAATACAGTAACTTTAAATCATCATTAACATGTCATCATTGTTTATTCCTAATTGTCGTCAGTATGTGAGCAGGACCTATTTTTGAGTGTTGGTTATTTTTAAGTTAAATACCGAAAACTGTTGATTTTCATGTGAGAAAATGTACAATTGTTAGGAAAAATATGAGGTGTCGGGGTCTTATTTCTCTAAATATTGTCCTATTAGTTGTGAACATGGACATTGAAAATGTATCATTGACATTGTTTATTTTCGTTCTATTTAATATATTCTTTTAAAAATTAAAAATTAAAAGAATGACACGCGGCGTATTAATATTCTATGCAAGAGAAACATATTTAGATCCCTGTTCGATTTCGACCCAATCTATATTTATAAAAATGTTAAGTTTGTATGTGTACACTTCAAAAACTCAAAAAAATTATTCATCGAGTGACCCGGAATTTTGACACTATATACAAACCGATTCAATAAGTGTTTTAGACTTTTTCGAGTCACTATGAATTCTCATCAATGCAACCATAATGTTCCACAGCGAAGCGTGATAGGGTACAGCTAGTTTAACATATTTTTTTTTTATGTTTGAGGGGGCAGACGAGCAGACGGTCATCTGATGGAAAGTGACTATCGCCGCCCATTAACGTCTGCAACTCAGGAGTCACAAACGCGTTGCCGGCCTTTTAGGAGTACGCTCTTTTCTTGAAGGTTTGAAGGTCGTATCGGTCCGGAAATACCACAGACGATAACCCGTTCCACATATTGGTTGTGCGGGGCAAAGTGTCTCGAAAAGTGCACAGTAGTGGAGCGCTAACTATCCAGGTAATGAGGATAAAAAAAATTGCCGTGTGGAACGATGGTGGAAATTAAATATAAGATTTTTATGCAGTAAGGTAAAGCAAATAATTCGGTATATACTTGGGTTCACTTTGAAGGCAATAAAATCAGTATTACTGTTCCCGAGATATATTTTTTTATATAAATGACAGCTAAGGTGTTCAAAATGAGCGTACAGTCAATCTGTACACCCAGATATAAACCTTTTTTCGCCTTCAAACGTAAAAGTTTGGCGAGTTTAGAATTAAGTAACCTATGTACTATAATTTAATTATCAGAATAAAAAAAAAAAAAAAGATATCTAACGTTAGAGGGTCCCTTGATGGGCATTGACAGGTGTTATGTGGTATTAAGCAGCTATGCGCTACCAAGTTAACTGTCCTAGGCTGAATTACTGAGCTAGCTGAAAAATAAATCGAGTTTTGGAAACATTTAAGGGAAGTAGATTTGTATTCAGCCAATCCATGACAAATTTTAATGCATTTTTCGCAGATTGGATTACACTGCTCCAGGACTCTCCACTTACTATAAGAGTAGTATAACCAGCATAAGTCAGTATTTACATTTGGGAATAGAGAGCATGCAGAGTGTATCTATGTAGAAAAGGAAAAGAGTACGAGGGTGGTCTGAAAATTTTCTGACCTAACAAAGATACAAGACCCTTTTTCGTTTTTCTTTGCAAAACAATTGTTCACGCAGGTGATTGCCTCTTCATTTGACGAAAATCTCTATCCTCCGAGCGCAATTTTTTGATGAGGAAACAAGAAGAATTCGCTTGGGGCGAGATCTATTGAGTAAGGCGGATGGTCAAGCAGTTCAAACCGTACTTCATGGATTTTCACCATGGCAACTTCTGAGGTGTGAGACGGTGCGACTTGGTGAAACAGGATTTTATTTATCTGCAAATGTGGCCGTTTTTCCGCAAGTTCTGCCTTCAGCTTGTCAAGTAATGATGCGTAGTATGCTCTGTAATGGTTTTTCCTTTTTGGAGATAATCGATTAAAATAACTCCATGACTTGCCCAAAAAACAGTCGCCATCAATTTTTCAGCCGAAAAAAACAGTTTTTGGCTTTTTTGGAGCCGGTTTCCCCTTTGCAGTCCACTGTTTGGACTATATTTTTGTTTCGGGCGTATAATGGTGAATCCAAGTTTCATCTACAGTAAGTAATTGGCGCCAAAATTCGGATTTATTACGCCTAAACTGCGCCAACAGAGCATTGGAAATGTTCATTCGAACACGTTTTTGGTCTAACGTGAGCAAACCCAACGCGCAGATAGTTTTCTCATGTCTAAATGTTGATTTAATATGTAACAAACACGTTCTTTGGACATGTTCATAACCTTTGCTATCTCTCTTACTTTAATTCGGCGGCACCATTTGGTGAACTTTTCGTCGGTAGTTGCAGTTTTTTGACGTCCCGAAAGTTCATCGTCTCCCAAGCTCTAACGGCCACGTTTAAATTCAGCTGCCCAAAACATCCCACTATTCTATTTGCAAGTGACAGTACAATTATATTTACATCTAAAGACAAGTCGGTCCTTGAGTCTGACATATTCAATACTCTCAATAATGTAATAAAATGGTTGAGATTAAATAATTTAAAAATCAATCTAAACAAAACACTTTAAATGATATTTTAAAAAAGAATATTAGTAACGGGCATAAACGTTTCTTATAAAGGCGAAAAACTTCACGAAGTAGAAACAACAAAATTTCTAGGTATAAATATAGATAGCAACCTAAATTGGCATTCCATGTGTACCTTACACACTGTGCAGCACATGTGTGCCACTGTGAAAAATTAAATACCCAGTCGTATACCCATGTATAACACATGCTCACAAAAAAAATTGAATCATAGCGCTGTATTGACTGCATATCACGGATACGTGGATTCGATCTTGAGGTATGGGGTCATATTTTATGGTAACTGTACTGAAATAGAGCAAGTATTTATAGCTCAGTGTCAGGGCAATGTGCAACTTCCAACAAATTGAGACCTGTAAACCATATTTAAATCAAGAGACTCAAAATACTAATCGTACTCTGTCTGTATGTATATGAATTGCTATTATTTGTCAGAGGTAATCTAAACATGTTTGATAAGTATGAAAGTAAGCATAACAATTACAAAATATGTTGTCCTCAGCATAAAAGTGCTTTGATGGATCGGAGTGTTTTGCATGGTGCAACGAGTCTATAACCTTAAACGCTTAATAGAAACTACGTGTTTCATTAATTTTAAAAATATGGTTATGCAATTTCTGTTGCAAAAGGCGTACTATATAGTGGACTACTGAATTTTTAAATGATAAAGACTGTATATAATATGTTTTATTTGCGTCTGTTTGTTTTAATCTTAAATTATTGTGACATTCTATTGTAATTTATTTATAACTGACATAAAATTCACTTCTTTTTATTTAGTTTATAGTTATAAATATATGATATATTGACATTCTTGAATCTCTAAATATGAACAATGTTGTAATTAGATTCCTAAAGCATGTAATTATAAAATGTTAAGTATTGCATGCCGAGAGGCCGATAATGGAGAAGCTATGCCACATAATTATATCACAATAATCATTGTACCTACCCATTTTCGAAATAAAGTCATTTGAATTTGAATTTCGGTTTCGTGAGTCTTCGGGAGCTGCGGAGGTGTTGCTTCGTCGACGTCTGGGTTAATCCTGAGACTCCTTTGATCGGGCGAGGTAAATATACTATGCCGCGATACAGGATTAGCAATAACTTCCTAGTTCAGTGTGTCTTCGTTACGCGGCACTTAAGAATATTTGTTTCATTGTCTGCGGAAGTCGCTATAGCAGTAGGTATGTGATTCTGCATTAAATGTTAAATGACAGAATTTTATTCTCATTTTGAATTTATAAGAACTGTAATTTATAAATTCCAAAAAGGAGACAGCGAGAGTGCCTCTTCTTTATGAAAGACATTATGTTGCTTCTGGAATAAAACAAAATCACCGAAATTTTCGTATCCTCTCTACTTTATACAGTATTATTTTCTTACCACGTTCACCGTCTATCTCAAAGAACGTTTTGAGTTTTTACACAATTCAGATTGCAGGCTCCTGAGATCATCAGAGAATCTGAAGTTGAAAATGCCCAAGCATTTTTACCACACCACACAATTTAGTGACAAATCGTTCTCGCTGCAAGCAGTTTGATTGTGGAACAATTTTCCCGAGGCAATCTGAAAAGCTAAATCGTTTTAATTATTCAAAATAGAAGTCACAAATTACTACTTCATTGTAAGGGCTGTTGAAGGGATATTTATTGTTTATTAATACTTGGTACCTCACAGGTTAAAAACGATTTGTGTATTAACCTTTATAACCCTTGTATGTATTTATCATTTATATGGATTTATATGTGCTAGTATTATGTAGATTGTAAGCGTATTTAGTATGTTTAATTTTATATATATTAATTATCTAAAGTGTTATAAAGTACACCTAAATCAGATTAAACAATATCCGTGTAAAGGTTATCTGTAAGAGATCGCCGTGAGCGATAAGACCGCCTATTGTAATACCAAAATGTAGATGTCCATCCATGTCTGTATAATATATACTGTAGCGGTGTACAATAAAGATGTATAAATAAATAAATAAAATTAGTTTGGTAAAAACGCGTTCAGCTGCAGAAATGATATGTTGGATTGATTGGGATGATTGATTTGATTGGGACTGAAAGAATGTTAGTCGATTCAGGCAGTAATCTTGAACCGTCCAGATTTAGACCGACACAAAAAAATAAGACGTTAATTTTCATAGACAAATTAGCTTATCTGTGGCAAAAACATCGTTAGCCAAACGATGGAGCAACTGAATTAAAACGTCAATATTAATTGACGTTTCACATTGTTACTAGGTTTTATTAAAAAAATTGTACTGTATTTTAGATCAAATATATATTTGTTAATGTATATGTTATGGCGCTAGACACTAAGAAAACTTCCCCACCACATTGTAAAGGTACCACGCCTAACACAGAAAAAGGTAAAGTAACTTATTGCACAGACTTGGAGAAGTCAGTGATAACGACTAATTTTGATCGTCGCGGTTGGATTCAAGTGGGGCCCGACGATGAATGGAATTTTTACTGGTCATTTATACAAAACTGTCGAACTCTTTTTAGTATAGAAAGTGGCTACCGAATGAATGACAACCAAATGATAAACCACTTTCCTAACCATTATGAACTATCCCGTAAAGATTTGTTGGTCAAAAATATCAAAAGATACAGAAAGGAGTTAGAGAGGGATGGTAATCCATTGGCTGAGAAAACAGACGTGATTTTGCCAAGCGGGCAAGTTGTCACCCGTTATATTCATTTAGATTTTATACCAGTAACATACGTGCTGCCTGCTGATTACAACATGTTTGTAGAAGAATATAGAAAGTCGCCTCAAAGTACATGGATTATGAAACCATGTGGAAAATCACAGGGTGCAGGAATATTTTTAATAAATAAACTGTCAAAGCTCAAAAAATGGTCTCGCGATGCAAAGACAGTGTTTCATCCTCAACTGAGTAGTAAAGAATGTTACGTTATATCGCGATATATCGACAATCCACTCCTAATAGGTGGGAAAAAATTTGACTTAAGGCTATACGTTTTAGTAACATCATTTCGACCACTGAAAGCCTATTTATTTCAACATGGCTTCTGTAGATTTTGTACTGTTAAATATGATACAAGTGTCACTGAGCTTGATAACATGTATGTGCATTTAACTAATGTAAGTGTACAGAAGTATGGAGGAGATTACAACAGTTTACACGGTGGGAAAATGAGTATACAGAATTTCCGTCTGTACCTAGAAGGTACCAGAGGTCGCGCTGTAACCGAAAAATTGTTTGCGGAAATGCAATGGCTTATTGTACATTCCTTAAAAGCTGTTGCGCCAGTAATGGCTAATGATCGCCATTGCTTCGAGTGTTATGGTTATGATATTATTATAGATAACAATCTAAAACCGTGGCTAGTAGAAGTAAATGCGTCACCGGCACTTCAATCTACAACTCATAATGATAGAATACTAAAATATAAACTGATTGATAATATTGTGTCTGTAGTTGTACCGCCTGATGGAATACCTGACGCTAGGTGGAATAAGATTCCTAGCGAAGAAGCTCTTGGTGACTTTGACGTCCTCATTGATGAAGAATTAATGGAAAGGGAGGATATAAATTCTCGTTATAATAAAATTCATCGTGTTAAACCATAACACTATGTACCTTTTATTTGTAATACATTTATGACAAAAACGATTGTTTTTATTTGAAAAAGAAACTAACAGGACATGTATTTATTATTTCTATCTTCTTACTTCATCATTCTTTTTTTCTGCTTCTTCATCTATAAGTATTTGAAACTCCCCCAGTGCTTCGGTACTTGGATTTTTATTCCATCGTGCATTAGGTATACCGTCTGGGGGTAAAACTACTGATAAAAGATTCTCTATGAGCTTATTCTTAAGAATTCTGTCATTTACGGTTGTTCCAGTCATTGATGGTGAAGCGTTTACCTCTATAAGCCAAGGCTTTAATTTATTGTCAATGATAATGTCATAACCGTAACACTCAAAGCAATGTCGGTCATTCGCCATAATATTCATTACGGCCTTTAAAGAATGAACTATTAACCATTCTATATTTTCGAATAATCGATCAGTCACTTTGCGACCTCTAGTCCCTTCCAAATAGAGCCTTAAATTCTGTATACCCAATTTCCCTCCATGGTAACAATTGTAGTCCCCTCCATGTTTTTGTACGCTAACGTTTGTTAGATGAATATACATGTTGTCGAGCTCTGCAACGCTCTTGTCATATTTCATCGTGCAAAATCTACAAAAACCGTTACGAAACATGTAGGCTTTCAAGGGACGAAATGAAGTAACTAGAACATAAATCCTTAAATCGAATTTCTTTCCTCCTATGAGTAAGGGATTATCTATATAGCGACATATTACATAGCTATCTTTGCTAGTTAAATGATGTTGCAAATAGTTTTTGGACTCCCGAGACCATCTCTTCAGTTTAGACAAGTTGTTTATTAGGAAAATGCCAGCTCCTTGAGACTTACCACAAGGTTTTAATATCCACGTGGTTTGAGGATATTTTTGGTATTCTTCGACAAACCTGTTGTAGTCTGATGGAAGGACGAATGTGGTTGGTATAAAATCTAAATACATATAGCGAATGACGGTATGTCCTTTTTCTTTTACTTCAATTTTTGCTGCAAGTGGGTTGCCTTCTTTTTCTAATTCTTTTCTATATCTCTTTATATTTCTTACAAGTAAATCTTTCCGAACTAATTCAGCGTGTGTCGGGAAATGATTAATTATCTGATTGTCGCTGAGCCGAAGGCCGTTGGTGATGCTAAATATGTTTCGCGAGTTTTGTGTATTTGCCCAATAAATATGCCAGTCTTCTTGTACTGCTACTTGCTCCCAGCCTCGAGACTTGAAACATTTTATTACAATAGACTTTTCGAAATCTGTGCAAAACTTTACACGTCTACATTTCATTAGCGTACTTGGTGCACCAATTGCCCCGTCTAACTTCTTGCTATTTGATGTCATTTTATAGGATTTACTTGTTTGTTTGTTTAGTTTGAGTTACAAAAATAAACTGATGGTTATAATTTAAAGTATTTGTTTACAAGAAACATTATTGATCCAAATCATTTTTGACAGTTGTATTGTAGGTTGAGTGTGATAATCAAGTAGGTTTCACTTATAATAAACGAGAGACTTTTTACCGGATCACACCATTTACAAGGCACGTGAGGCACGTGCCTTGTTCAAGACTTTTTTAATATATAAACAATTTAAAAGCTTTCAGGTGTAACAGATTAATAGGATATACATATGAAGACATTAATTAAAAAGCTTTTCAAGAAACGTATTCCCTCGCACAACCAAGGCTGAATTGTACTTTATGAACTACTTATTCGGTCTACTTCCGGGTCCAAAATTATATGTATAATTTTCTTTCGAAAAATAAGTAACAAGTCTTTTTTCCACACTTCTTGTTCTTATCACAAATCAATAATTACTCTGATTAAAAATAATGATGACATCTATTTTAACAATTATTTTTATATATATTTATATATTTAATAATAGTAAATAATTAATGTTTATTTCTTAAATTAAAAAGTATTAATGTAATAAAATTGAATAGTTCCTAAATTTTTATTTCTTATTAACTTAATTATCCCAGCTAATGAGCTGTATGAATAATATATATATATTATGTATGAAGTATATATTTATTCTTAATGCACAAGTTGTACATTAGCGAACTTAATGCCATAGGCATTTTCGCCCAGTCTACCTTAGGGTGATGCTGAAATGTGTGGCTAGGTGCACTAGACATTAATAGGAGAAGTAATAGAAAATTATTGATAAGTTGGGCAGAAGTAATGCGATAAATATACATACGTACCAAATACATCCTCATACACAAATACTTATATAGCAACATACATACATAAGCCTAAAAATAATAATATTAGGTCTTTACCTATGAAATTGCCGTTTTGTATGCAATAAGTGAAAGTACTTATTTTTTCAAACTTTTTTATTTCTGTTATTCGAAGTAATCACCGACGCAATCGACGCATCTTTGCCAACGCATTGGCAGTTTATTGATGCCCTTCTTGTAAAAATCAGTTGGACGGGAGGCAACAAACTCTTCAAGGCATTTTGTACTGCCTCTCGGGAATTGAATTTTTTACCCACTAAAAAGTTGTCTAAATTTTGGAAAAAGTAATAGTCGGTAGGTGCAAGGTCTGGTGGTCACATCTGCAACCAGCTTTGGTCAATCGGTCGTCCCCACTGCTCCTTCACGACAACGTGCGGAATCATAAATTTTTCAATTTAACTCAATTAACTTGATATTTTATACATGAAATGATGAAGACGGCATGGGGAACCCCTCTTGCCGTTTTCTATTTCAGAGTATTTTCAGTTAATCAATGATCCAAGTATTGGAGTCCTCATACTAATTCAAATACTTTATTCAAATTTCAGAGAGAATGAAAAAGTATAAAATAAGACGGAAAGGGAATGAAATGATATTGTTTTGTCGTAACTTCCGCATACCTCAATTTTAAATATAAATACAAAGCTTTCTTTTTTTTAAGAGTCATAGAGAAAATAGATGTTACCCAATACAGTCTAAGCTTACAACCATAGGATTTGCTATATATGAGCATGCGAAATAAAAAAAATACATCAAACCCAACTTTAATTACATTATTTTTAAATTTCCGTGTGAGATTCATTCTTGTGTCCATGTGCCCACATTTAGGCCGGCTCGACCAGAGTGATACCACAGCTTCATAGAAAAGCCATTGTTCCGTGGATTCCAGTGATTACATAAAAAAATTATATTTAACCACTCTAGATTGTTCGTAAACTGTTTTTTTTTTCTAAACCACATTTATGGCTATAAATACTTATAATACAAAATACCTTAAAATTTTAAAGTTAAACTAAAAATATCTAAGTTATATACTATTAGAATCATGTAATTACACAGCTGTAGTTCAGTAACTGGCATAGGGATTGCACCCTATGTTTTGCAGTTTGTGTACCGTATGTTTTTTCATAAATTTTTACATGTTCATATTTCAATATTGTATCATTTAAAAAAAAAAAAGTAAGGAACGAAATAGTCTTCATGTGCTTTGATAGTAAATTAAAAATAAAACTGAATTTTTATTTTCATGTTTTGAGACATCTTTAGTAATTTAATTCTAGTGCCTAATCAGGCTAGTAAATTTTACATTGTATTTTACCCAAATTTACACACCCAAACATCTGTATGTCTTTTGTCTAGTAGGGTACTCATTTATTTAGCTTAACTGATCCATGCATACCTAATTATAATTTGCGTAATTAATTTTAAGCTTTAAAAATACTATTAATATTTACAAAAAGAAACAGATTAAGAACAACTGCTTAGAAGTTATTTTTGTATCATGTTACATGTATTCAACATATTTGCAAACGTAACAAATATGAACATACGAGGACATTTTATCGCAACACATCTCGCCCTTGAGAATTTACGTGTCTGTTTCCAAGAAACATTAGACTACATTAATAAAATAAGGTGGTGATTTGCGTTGAAGGTGACAATTGAGTCTCCTGACTGTGATAAACATAATTTATGTGAGTATTTACACGAATATTTTTTTAGAAAAGAATAAGATAAAGCTTTGTATTAGAGGGTTATTAAATGGTTTCATGCACTGCTGATTAAATCAAAATTAGAACCTAAAACAGACTAGTATGATTTCCTGTCAGTGTAAACGGAAGCTGTCCTTAATATGAAAAAATAATGTTTTATTATTAATATCTACACAAATGAACGTTTCAAACTTAATGAATATTCTCATTATTTATTTATATTTATTTTTATGTTAGACGGAGCAGACGAACAGACGGGTCACCTGATGGAAAGGGACCATCGCCGCCCATGAACGTGCTAAGGAATCACAAACGCGTTAACATACAACATTTACATTTACATTAAATACTAGTACACCGAATATCTGGTTCATTGATGGAATGGCAATAGCCAAGGTAACAGGCAATTGATCAAAACCTACAATAATTACAGTGCTCTTTACAAATCTTGACTTGACCCAAAACAGAACGGGCTGTTTACACTACAAATAGTATTTTAGGCATAAAAACAAATTTAAATAAACTTTCAAATGGTACTATTAAAGAAATTTAGCTTTTTTACCCATAACTGAACAGAGTTGGAGTATGGGTTAACTATGAAACAACTTTTTCCTTTTTTCTTTTTTTATATACCATAACTAAGATGCAGACCATGCAGAATAATTTTGTTTATATTGTATAGATTTTTTGTCTTAGTCTTCTACTTCGTCTTTTAGTTTAGTTTAATTTCATTAGTCATAGCCCAGAAATTAAATTTGAAACAAAAGAGTCCGTAATTTTACTCTTCTGTTATCAATCCACTTTTAAAACAACTGGTTATACGATTTAATGAGTTTGTAAATATAAAACATTTAGGGAAATAAAATAAAACAACTTAAATTAAACTTTTCCTTCCTGCAATAACATCACGTCAGATAGTACCTATCTTTCATTAAATTAACATACACTTTGACGAAACGAGAAACTAATGCAATTTGAACACAGTTCCTGAAGGATTGCTTTGTCATTACATTATTGTTTGTGTGGTAGATCTAAATTTTGCGGTTACGCGAGACTAACGTCAACACAAATTTGAGCGCAGAATGTTTGCATTGTGGTTTGTGGTGCCAACGGAGTTGGAGAATGTGTTTTGAAAGTATTATGTGTGCGAATCTAAATTTAAATAATCAAGATAATGCACCTACACAATAGACTAAATTGTCGGTCATTGAGTAGCTGGCGAATTTTTATATACCGGAGGAGCTGGCAGTTGATTTCGGATTCCATAATCTTAGAGAGCAGGGGAGTTATGGCTATAGGCCTGTAGTTGAGCGGACCGCTCTGAGCGGTCACTATTTTAAGCGATCGGGTGCACAAACGTTCCAGGAGTTCGTTACGACGCCTTGGGTGTCGAAAAAGGCGATTTAAAACCGGTGCCAACTCCGGAGCACACGTCTGCTAAAGTCAATAATATAGTATTTCTGAACTACTGTTACAGCTTATAAATTTCTTGTTTTTTAATTTCATTAGCCCTCGGCTATATTTATAAACAGTTATACGTTAAATAGGTAATTTTTACGGTAAAGCTTACTAACAAACTCTGTTAATAAACTTTTTTTTCAGAATCAGTAGTTGCAGTTACCGCCTATAAAATATTGGTTAAAGAAACCTATAATGCGCCACCGTTTGAACCTAGCCTAGGTATGACTATTTGCAATCACTTAATTTCGCTTTGTAGTATGCATGAAGCAAAGCTTTATAAACACTAATAAAATAATAAATATATCTAATAACATAATAATTTACTAACTAACCTAAAAGTACACATGGCTTTGCCCTAATGCTCCTCCGTATTGACTGTAAAGGTTCGCTCAAAGAGACTTAGATTTGGGTTAAGCTCGTCTTTGTACATAACATTTCCTTGTTGTTGAATATACATCAATTATTGTATTTAATATTTTTTCATCGGACTACTAAACGCAGGAATAGTTACATTCCTTTATTGTCAACGCCAATAATAGTCGAACGCTTTGACAACTTTTTTGGTTCGAGTTGCAAAATCTGGAATAAATTGCCTTCTTTTAAACTAAAACATGGTCCAAATACTTTTAAAAGTAGATGCATAGGTTTCCCTTAGATAGGTGAATCTTCGTTTCTATCATGACATAAGGTGTGATGGAAGACAAATACTTTTTTCAAATCATCGACTTAACAAAATAGATATATTACTACATTAATCAAATTTGTATAAAATTCACGTTCATCAGAGAGATCTATATGCGGCGAAATATTTGCGGTTGAAGCGTGTTCAGGAACTGAAATGAATATCCATTGTAATTCCAAATTATTTTAACGCAATCAAATTTCGAATCACCCCACAAATTTCAGTATTCACTGTACAA